ATTAATGCGGGGGGTGGGGGAGGTGGGGGGGGGAGCGGCAGATTCTTTCACTACTTGGTGAAGCATCCCATTCTATTGATGGAGTACCTTAAAGAGATCATTTACCTTGATTCAGATTTTGGTCTTCATCTCTCCTACTCCCCTGGTTCCCTTCCTCACTTCCTTTAAACCGCAAATACCAAGTCCACTGGCACTTCTAATTGATGACCTTACACATATTTGAAGTAGCAGTTGTTATTCCTAGTTTTTGCTTTTCCATGTGAAGCTCCTCCCTTCTCCCCACCCCAACTCTTTGTGTTCCTCCCAAGAAAGATCTTGAGCTTGGAAGGCACCCACCAGTGCTTCATGCATCACATGGGTTCCACAAATAATTATTGTCTTAGTGCTTCTTTCCTGTTCTCATTCACACTCTAGCTTCTCATTTGAGTTTTATTTCCATTTCTGGCATTTGTTTCTGCAAAATCTTACCTATCTGTCTTCCCAAAGTACAGCACTGGAGCCTTCCTGTAACCTTGACCGCAGCCTCACACCTGGCCTTCAGAGCCAAGCCTCTTCAGGCAGGTGGGCCCCGTGAGATAATCACAGGTGAGCTCCACCCAACCTGCATCTCAAATGAAAACACTTCAGAACTCCCAGATTCAGGGCAAGGAAACCAGTCACATTCCAGGAAAGCATTTTCATTTTATTGAAAAATTATTTACAATTCATTAAGTCTTCATAAATGCTTTATTTTAAAATTAAAGTCTTTTTTTTTTTTTTAACTTTTTGTAACCTGAAGAAAATTGGGGAGGGTGGGGTTGGGGAATAGGAATGACAGTGGTTACAGGCTCCTTAGGGATTCTGCAAAGGGATGGATGTAACACAACAGCAGTGGCCTGAGCCCTGTGGCCTAAGTGGTAATGCAAGAAGACTGCATAACAGTTCTTACTTGAAACTCAGTCCCCTGGTTTGGGTCTGAGGCACCCAGCACAGGGCGGGGTGAGGGGGTGACACTTTGCTATTCCTACCAGGCAAGAGTAGGTGTTGGGGGCAGGTGGTAGCCTTGGAACTATCTAGAAGTCATGCACTACTGAGCCTCAGGCAGAGCCAGGCAAGGGATGTGAAGTCAGTAATACATTGCTAATACGCTGCTGGAAAAGGCATCACCAGCTGGAAAGTCTTTACTTCCACACGCCGTGGCCCTCCTGTCTGCAACACCTGCTCCGGTTCGGAGGGGAAGAGGGGATGAAGTTATGTGGGGTGTAGGCTGTACAACAGCCTAGGTTGTGCCAAGAATTTCTGAGGATTTCCACTTCTCGGTGGGTGCCAGCTCCCCCCATCAATTTCAAGGACACTTGCGAAGACCACTTACAATTAAAAATCAGTCTCAAACTGCCAGTGCTCACTTCACTCTGCATTGCAGAAACTTTGGGCTGAAAGCTCCACTTTCCGTTAAAATAGGTTTTAACCCTTTGTGGATCCAGGACCTTTGAGGATCTATGAAAGCTTTAGCCCTCTGGAAAACAGGCATAAGAACACAGATACTAAATTCCTAGTGTTAGGGGTTTCATAGACCCTATGAAGTCCAACAATGGACCCCCTGGGGGGATAGACCCCCAAGTTAAGAACCCCTGAGTTAAAGGTTCCTATGGATAAGCTGCAAATAACCCAGAGGAACCATCATGTGATTACTGATTGAATGGGTGTGGGGCAATAGGAGTAATGGCTGTGGAGGAAGGGGAGGTAAGCCTGGTGCCCCACCCCAGGGAAAAGTTAGGGAATGGTTTGGAGATTCAGCAGGCAGCACTGGATCAGGGAGATAGATCAGAAAGGGACTTGGGGTCCCAAAGACCTTCACTTCCACATTTTCCCTAAGGCTGGCTCTGTGTCCCGATCAGAACTTTTTTATTCAAGTAGGTACGTGCAGTCATCCTGCCATCTGATGGTTATGCTTGGAATTGCATCTGCCCCCACATCCAAGTGAAATGGCAGAAATCTAATATGTTCTTGGAATAAAGTACACATGGCTAACTTGCTGGGGTGCAGTAAGGAGTAGAAGTGGGGGGAGTGGATGAGAAAGAGGAGTGACTCTTCAATGTTCCTGTGTAATGCACACTGAAGTCCCATGAGAGCTTGCATCCTTCTTGGCTGACGTGGGCACTCTTTGGTTTGTCATGGCTAAACTTGCTTCAATAGCTTAGAATTTTTCCATATATACACACACACATATATATGGGAAAATATATATTTGCTTTGATTTGAACTTAAAACCTGAAGCTCCATCTCTGGCTCCCAACTGGGTCTCTCTGTTCCCGGTTCCTCCTCTTCCAGAGCAGATTTATTGATGGATTGGTAACTGCCGATTGGGAGCCAAAGCAGATGTGTCCCTGGGAAAATCAGTGACTTGAGGTTCCATCTGGCATTCTTTCCACTCCAGCTGAGACCCAGTTCCCAGGCTGCTGGAGCCCTTATCTAACAGAAAACTGGTCACCAACAGTTTTCTGTATTGTAATGTCATGCCCACATGGCTGAGTCCCACTGCCCTGAAGTTCTGGAGGAATTCTTGGTGCATCTTCTGAACACACCGTCACGCTTGCTGCTCCAGCCTCCGCTGTGCCTGTCAGCGGTACCTTCTGAGCTAAGCTACGCATGAAATATGGCATCAGGGGATCTCAAAGAACAAAAAGGGCATTAGGGGTCCCAGAGTGGTATTGTCAGCCTGGAGTCATGTCTTCTCCAGTCCCAGGCTGTGCTGTGGACGAGGCCATTTCTAGCATGTTCCACTCGAGGCACCTCCTTCCATCTTGGCCACCGCAGGCTCTGAGTCCAACTGGAGGCGATGAGGGAAAGTCTGCCAAACTGACAGTTAGGGGTGAAGAGGTGGCGAGGGAAGCAGAATGCTCTGTCACCTGTGGGAGGCCTTGGGGAGAAGCAGATGACAGGAGGGTGGGTTCTCCCCCAAAGCTCTGGAATGTCACACACCCAGCAAAAGTTGTCTGCCCATCATGTAATGAGAGGTGTTAAATTGGAGTTCTCCTCAGAGGCTCTCTCTCCATCGGGTGACCTCTTCCTTTTTCGACCACCTGAAAAACACAGTTTGTAAGGATCAATCTGTAGGACTCAGAGGACATTCATACTCTCTTGGTGGTCCAAGCTCTCTTCAAAATAGAAGCAGAAATGGAGACAGTTTGGCAGGAAGCAATCTGCGTTGTAACCTGCTGCTATCAATATTTTTATTGATTTCACAGATGAAGGGAGAGAGAGATAGAAATATCAATGATGAGAGAATCATTGATTGGCTGCCTCCAGAAGCCCCACACTAGGGATCGGGCCCACAACCCAGGCATATGTCCTGACCAGGAATCGAACCGTGACCTCCCGTCCTGGTTCATAGTCAACCATTGAGCCACACCAGCCAGGCAGCATATTTACATCTTGAAGGACTAGGATGCACCTTTCCCCTGAGATGACAGCTCTACAAAGCCACAAACCCAGGCTAGTGCCAATGGAATGGAGATTTCCTGGAGGGAACTGAGTAAGGCCCATGTAATGCCTCGGGATCATGCCGTTCCCATCCTCTGATCCCCAATTATCAAGGATGCAGTAACAGCCCAGGGCCTATGATGGATTCCCCCGACTGTACCTCACTAGGGTTCCCAAAAGGAGTCACTGGTTCCTCCTCCATGAGGAAGAGCCTAACATGCTTTGTCTACTACCCAGCTGGTAGGTGGCTTTCGTCTGGGTGAGGAGATACTCACTCAAGGTTCTCAGCAGCCTCTTGCCCATGGTTTCCTCAAAGTCACTACTGCAGGGACTGGTCTCTGTATCCAGGTTGATATTACAACATTCACTATCTGATGCTGAAAGGAAAGAAGAAAGAACACAAGTGTTTCCAACGTGCACACCCAGGGACCGAGGTGGGATGATTCTGGCTGACATTTCTTAGCAGGTGAGAGTGCAGCACCAGTGCTAAGGCAGCAGTGGCTCCAACAAGGGAGGGATGCCCAGGGAGCCTTTAGCAAGGGGCACTTTAGTGCCACAAAAGGAACAAAGAGACAGAGAACAAGAGTGGGATTAACTACTCAAACCCTGTTTGGCAGGAGAGAGAAGGGAACAAGATGTTCTCTACTCAGCATTTTTTGCCAGACAAAAAGCACATTTGAGGACAGGTGGTGATGTGTCCTTCCTCTATTTGTACAGATCCTGGAAAACCACAGGGCTCAATAACAATTAAGCACATGCCAGGTCTTCTCCCACTGAACCCGGTGAGAATTCAGAAAGCCCTAGAATCTCAGAGCCAGGAAGGAGCCCAGCTCTTAGTGCCAATGCAGGAAGAACCTAACCTGGGAGGCAAAATGATGTGCTGGAAATGGCCCTGCACCCTAAGCCAGGAGGCTGAGTCCGCTTCTAATGCAGCATACCGATGGGGCAAGTCATCTCCCTTCTCCAGGTCTCAGGGTCCTCATGTGCCATAGAGGAGGATGGGTTAGATAATCTCCAAAGACTATCCCATCTCCTCCATTCTTATTCGTTTGATACAATTTCTTGGTACATGTTTTAGCTACTAAATTCAGTGTGGGTGGGAGAAAAAGAGCATCAGTCCTAAATTTAGGTCCTGGAACAGTAATTATGTATGTCCCAGATTTTCTGCGTTAGCTACAAGTTCAAACATATCTCAGGCAAGCATATCTTAGGCAAGAACAGAAGGACCTTAGGACTGCTGGGACGCTGGGAGCTCGGAGCAACACCACCATCAAGACAGAGGCCTCCAGTGTCTCAGAGGGAGGTGATACGGTCTCAGACTTCAGGACAGCTCCTACAGATTACGTCTGGTCCCTGGGCCTCAAAGGAAGGGAAGAGCCCTGCCAATGAGAGTGATGGCTGACTTCAATGTCCTAATCTGTAAAGTAGGCCTAACAATAACTATGCACTCTTTAGAGATCATGGCACCAAGCACTGGAAGGTACCCTCTGTATGTGTTATCTCATCGACGCTCAAAGCTACTTTAGGAGCTAGTTACTGCGATTTGTATCTATTAACATAAGGAAATGTACCTATTAAGACAAGAAAACCGAATCTTCAGATAAAGTAACTTGCCCCAAATTGCATAGCTCCTAAATCAGTGGTTCTCAACCTTGGCTGCACATTAGAATCACCTGGGAATCTTTTTAAAATCCTGATTTCTGGGCCTCATCCTCAGGAAATTCTGTTTCTTTGTTACTAATGATGAGGCCCAGAAATCAGGATTTTAAAAAGATTCCCAGGTGATTCTAATGTGCAGCCAAGGTTGAGAACCACTGTCCTAAGTGAAGGAGCCAGGCTCTGAACCCAGGTGGAAGCCTAGTTCCTAACACACTGTCTTCCGGTAGCTGCCCAGTAGATGTTAGGAGGCGTAAGCAGGCGGGACATTTTACACGGGGGCTGGGATCCCAGGCTCCCCTCACCCAGTGCCCTATGGTGAAGACCCCCCCTCCCGGCTCCTGGGGCCCAGTTTCCCTCCCGGACCTGCTCTTGTGGGAATGGCTGCAGGAGACACCGAGAGCTGCTGTGTGCTGTGCTCCTGGAAGTCTGTCATATCCTCCTGGGTGAAGCCCATCTCCTCCATCCTCAGGTACACGACCTCGCCGGGGCTTCTCAGCCCATCGGAGCGGCTGCCTGGGGAGAACAGCACGTGTGTCACCTCTCTGCTTTGGAGAAGACCCGGGCTCCATGAGGACAAGATGGCAGCTCGGGGCAGCCATCAGGAGGAAGGCAGGACTGTCCTCACCTCAAGGCAGCCCGGCCCGTCCGCCTGACTGACTTACATGGCAGGCTGTTCCTGTTGTTTAGGAGGATGACAGCAGGGTCATCCTTGGGGGTCTGGGGTGTGCCCCGGGTCGTGGGGGCCTTGGTGGAGTCTCCGTCAGTGAAGGCCTCCATGTCGGGGGACTGGGGTGAGTTGTCCATGTGGCAGGCGGTGAGCGCATTCTGGTACTGCTGCCGTGTGATCTGGGAGGAAGAGGCAGAGAGGGGCAGAAGCTCAGGAGACGCTGGGCAGAGCCTTCCATAGATGTGGTCCAAGCTCAGACGCAGCCTCACCTGAGTGCTTTGGAACCCAGGCCTCCGTAACCTGGGATCCATGAACTAGGGGCCTTACCCAAGCTGTACCAGGCAAGGGGTTGAAGACAATGAGAGGACCCTTTGTTTGTTTGCCACCAGAGTTCTCACTGTCATTTTTATTTGCTCTGGACTCGTGTGTTTTTTTTTTTAAATTTAAATTCTTTATTGTTTAAAGTATTAAATATGTCTCCTCCCCCACCCCACTGAGCTCTCCCCAGCCACTCCCACCCCCCAGCACATGCCCTCACCCCCCTACTGTCTGTTTCCATTGGCTATGCTTATATCTTTGTGTTTTTTTCTAAAAAGATTTTTTTATTGACTTTTAGAGAGGAAGGGAGAAGGAAAGAGAGAAAGAGAGAGAAACATCGATGTGAGAGTGAAACATCAATCGGCTTCCCTCTACATGCCCCCAACTGGGGATTAAGCCAAGCAACCTAGGCATGTGCCCTGACCGGGAATTGAACCGGCAACCTTTCACTGCATGGAACAATGCCCAACCAATTGAGTACTGGCTCTGGACTCTTAAAGTGCACCTGGAGGAGCTAAGTCTTTACTTGAGACCCTGGAGAGGATAGAGGGCATCTTCAGTTAGCAGCGTGGTTGCCCACAGAGAGGTTTAAAACACAGGTGTGGAGAGCGGTTACAGCATTTGGACAAGTTCAAGCCTGGGACTAGTGAGAGGGCATGATCCTCTCGTGGCAAAAGCCACGTGCAAGTCCCAGCACAATTATAGCCAAAGGCTATAGCTGTAAGCTTGAACCAATGGTCCAAACCTGTGGTCCCACGTGGCTAAGTGATATAGGCTATGGGAGGTGCAGCAAGTAAACAAAGCTTGAGCAGGTGCATGTAATTGAGTAGATTTGAAACCAACGAGAACGAGAACGTTGTAACCACGCCCTTACTTTGACTTGTGGAAACTGGTTATAAAATAAAGACTCGGCTTGCAGGCCGTGGCACTGTGCTAGCTTTCCATCAGAGAGGACAGCGTCCCACCCAGACCCAGCTTTCTTCTGTTGTCTGTCTTTCCTCAATCCTTCACCGCCTCCTCTCAGGCTCACTGAACTTGGCTGTGCAGGCGCGGCATACACAGGCTTATACTATTGCCAAGAGTCCTCTTCCTAAGGGTCAGTCAGTGGGGACTTGGCAAGAACGAGACCCCCAGCTTGTGTCAAAGGCTGAAATAAGAAACCTCCATGTGAAGAACATGAACTCTGGCAAAACTGCAGATGAAGCCAATATGTGTGTGTGTTTTGAAGCCTTCTATAGTTCTATCCTTCAAGAAATTATTGCCAGAAAGAAGCTCCTTTCTCTAGGTGAATTATGATGGGAACTTAAAGATCCACTGTTTCTGCTTTTTTGCTTTTATGACCAGGAAGCTCACAGATAAATTTCTATTTACTTTCAGTATCAAACTCATTCCTGATAGCTTTTTTTTACCAAATTGGTTTACAGTCTCTTTTCAACTTCTAACTTAAAACATAATTGAAGTATTTACTTATTGAAATCATATAACATATACTACTGGAAGTGCTGTAAATATCCTAAAGAGATGGAACTAGAGATTAGGTTTTCAGACGTTGGTGAAAGCTCTAGTGCTAATGTTACCCAGAAGGGCGTGCTTTTGCAGGTAGAGGTTGGGATATGAGGATGGAACCTTCTATCTACACTGAGTGGCCAGATTATTATGACCACCTGACGTTTGTAGGCAAATTAGCTATAATTTCACGCTGAAGTTGCTAGAGGGCCAGACCATTATAAATAGGGAAGCAGGGTGTTTACCACGATAGTAGAGTGATTTTTTTCTGAAGATATGGGTAAACAATGCGATTTAACAGCCTTTGAACATGGGATATATATATATATACTATATAGTGCATAACGGCTTACAGAGCATGTAGGTATGTGCTATCACCTTTGCTTGTCATAATGACTGTATGGGGTGGGCGAGAGAGGTCTCCTACGGCCTATATTACGAGTAAGGAAGTGAGGTCTAGGAAGGTTGAAGCACTTGCCCAAGGTTTGAGAGTTAGCAGGCCTTCAGCGTCCTAGCCAGAAGTTCACCTTTAACCAGTGTGATGTCTCCTATCATTTTATAACTTTCATCCCTCAAAACACAATCCTGCAATTTAGGGATTCTGCCACCAGATGGTGATGAGGCATCTTGGTTGCAGTCACACGAGTCAGATTATGTCATTAGCCAAATATCCTTAGTTTAATAATGACATTTACAAAACACATTTTTTTAAAAACAAGCATAAGGATTCTTTGATATCTTCATAGCTTATTAACCACTATTAATCACAGCTTTAATATCTTTCCCAGATAATCTAGGCATACTTTTCTTTCTAATATTGTAACATATTGTGAAGTCGGTTTACTCCTGGACTTTATAACCAGTTCTGGAACTTCATTCTATCTGGACATGGAAAGCCCTCACAAACTGCCCGCAGCCAGTCACAGGGGCTTCCACCAATAAAAACACCCATTTTGTACAAACTTCTGTCTAGGTTCCTCAAAAACTCTCTTTATGTTAAAAAAAAAAGGGGGGGGGGGGTCGGGAGAGGTCAGTAAAAGAGAGCCTACATCATGGTCCTAACTAGTCCATTAAATCAGGAGGAGGGGATTTTTAACTTTAGTCTAAAGCAGTGGTTCTCAACCTTCTGGCCCTTTAAACATAGTTCCTCATGTTGTGACCTAACCATAAAATTATTTTCGTTGCTACTTCATAACTGTAATGTTGCTACTGTTATGAATCGTAATGTAAATATCTGATATGCAGGATGTATTTTCATTGTTACAAATTGAACATAATTAAAGCATAGTGATTAATCACAAAAACAATATGTAATTATATATGTGTTTTCCGATGGTCTTAGGCGACCCCTGTGAAAGGGTCGTTCGACCGCCAAAGGGGTCGCGACCCACAGGTTGAGAACCACTGGTCTAAAGCATCATCTTAACTTACATTAAAAAACAAAACAAAAGAGAAACCAACACCAACAACATAAAAAAGCTGTGTTAAGTTTGAATTCTCAAATTCCTTGTATAGAACCACCCATTCCAATCAGAGGTTTTCATTTGCTAACCAGGAAGGGGGCTCTCACCAGACACCGGTTCCGACCACACCCAGACACCCAGAACTTGGACGCCTAGCCGCCAGAACTATGAGAAGTAAGTGTTTGTTATTTAAGCCACCAGTCTATGGTAATTTGTTAGAGCACTCCGAGTGAACTAAGATAAATGGAAAGACCTGAGAAACAAACCTAACAAAAATTCCCTGTTCAAAGAGAATCCAAAGGCCTTACTCTGGCCTAAAATGCCAGGTGACATTGCTGCTAATGCTCCAGTCTCATCTCACACCAGCCTCTGCCTTTGCGCTCAGACCCTGGAACCCCCAGCTCCTTCCTGCCTGCTGTTTCTGTCTTGAACATTCTCCCCACCTTCCCTTTCAGGTCTCAGCAAAAATGTCCCTTGCTTGGCCTGCTCTGACAACCATTTCTAAAGCAGCCTCCATTTATTCCCCACCCTGTATATTTCCTTCACCGTCGTTATCACTACCTGGAAATTACCTAGGTTTTATCTATGTGGTTACCTGTTAATTATCTTTCTTCCCCTAGGACAGTGATGGCGAACCTTTTGAGCTCGGCGTGTCAGCATTTTGAAAAACCCTAACTTAACTCTGGTGCCGTGTCACATATAGAAATTTTTTTATATTTGCAACCATAGTAAAACAAAGACTTATATTTTTGATATTTATTTTATAGATCTAAATGCCATTTAACAAAGAAAAATCAACCAAAAAAATGAGTTCGCATGTCACCTCTCACACGCGTGTCATAGGTTCGCCATCACTGCCCTAGGAGCATGGAAGGTACAGAAAGGCAGGAGCTTGCTGTCTTGTTTGCTCCCGTAACTCACCAATGCCTGGACAGAGCCAAGCACAGTGCAGATGTTCAGTAAATATTTGAACCACTTACTCTATTGTGACTTCCCATTTCTTTTTCCACAAGTCATGTGGCCAGTACTACCAACCATAAGAGTTAGCATATTAGAATTTCTCTTCTCCCATTTTTTCCTACCTCCACTTCTGAGGAAGGTCTGCAATGAGAGGGCTTCAGGGCTGGAAGCTATAGGGACAAGAGTCATGGGCTCTGGCTTTCTGAGGTTTAACTTCATCGTCACATTATCTTGGATCATAGGGGAATGGGATGCACATCCTGACCCCCCAGCCACCTCTGCCGGCAGGATCGAGGGGACGGTCCACCCGGGGGAGTTACCTTTACAAACTGCACGTCGCTGAGGATGTGGACTGAGTAGTCAGGAGTGTAGAGGTTGTTGCTACTGCACAGCTGGGTGTTGCTGCCCCCAAAGTCACTGCGCTCACGGTTGGGAGACTCGGAGCGGTTCAACCCGCTACAGCGTGAAGGGGAGCGGTTTACTGCAGATGATGAGGGAGAGGGGAGGGAGAAAAGGCAAGGAGGGGTGGGTGTGGAGAAAGGAGAGGGGACCAGAAAGAGGGAGAAGAAGAGAGAGAGGTGTTGTTTATTGAGGTCCTGCAGGACTTTAAGACAATGGCTACACTGGGTGGTGAAACCAGGCCCCCACCCCTCCCATCAGAGCCCAGAAAAATGCCCAGCTGCCCACTGATGTTTATTCCTTCGAGGAGCAAACACCTAGGACAGGAACTCATGGCTCCACTCTGCTCAGGCTCCTCCTGCTCCCCAAGAACTCAGCCAGGGTTAAGTACCATGGAGGAAAAAGGGGGCTCTGAAAGAAAGCTGATGGAAAGTAACCTCACGGGTTGATCTGATCATAAATTTCTAACTGGGCAGTCATGCTCCAGGCCTACAAAAAGGTTTAAGCAAGCCCTGTCCATTGCTCTTGTGCACTGAGGTTCACACACCTTTGAAATGCCAGGGTAACCTTCTTTAACAGACCCTTTTGGGAGGTAACCACCCTCAAGGGAGCACATACTCTTGTAACTTTCCTCTGTGCCTTGCTTTCTCCCACCTCCAGGTAACTGACCTTACATTCCCTCCTTAATTCCAAATGTATCCGAGGAACAGCAAAGCTGTCATTCTCTGGGGCATTGTGAGATCCTGCTCCCTGGCAAGTTGTCAGTTTGGCTCAAATAAACTCTTATAAAAATGCCTACAGGTTTGGATGTTCTCACATTGACAGTGCAGATGAGGCCCAATTGTGAGCGTGGTTAGCTACCCCAGCCCACAAGACCTTCTACTAGATTGAGTTGCTTTAGATAAACTCCATTCACAAACCTTATTTTAGAAAGGCCAAGATTTGCCCTCAAAACCATCTGCCACAGCACCGATAACCAATCCTCACTGCACTGATGCACTGCAGTGGGGATGACTCAGGTCTGCCCCAACAATGGCTGGGCCCGGGACAAGTGGAGGCCCACAGACCACAGGGCATATATTTAAATCACACTAATAAACTGTTAAAATAGGTTCTGTCGTTGTCCTCAACAACCTGGAAGGCCAGGTCCAACTCCTTAGAGTTTTGTGACAGAAAATAGGGTTGTATGAGGAGGACCAATCCCCGGCACCCTTTTGGAATGGGGAATTCTGGGATTTTGGTATCTGAAATGTGGTCTAGAACAGTGGTCGGCAAACCGCGGCTCGCCAGCCACGTGCGGCTCTTTGGCCCCTTGAGTGTGGCTCTTCCACAAAATACCACGTGCGGGCACGCACGTATAGTGTGATTGAAACTTCGTGGCCCATGCGCAGAAGTCGGTTTTCGGCCTGGGCAAGTCTATTTTGAAGAAGTGACGTTAGAAGAAGTGGGGGGTGTCGGTCTGTCAGTTGGGCGACGGGAGATGCGGCGCAGGTGGGCCGAGGGATACGCAGCGCGGGGAGGTGGGGGGGCGCGCGCACGATTCATGCATGAGTTGAGGATGGGAGAATTGGAAGGGGTCGTCGTCAGCGAACGTACCTCAATCAAATTGAGGACGTTTTTAGCAAAGGCCAGCTTAGGAGTACCCTAATTAAGTTAATAACAATGTACCTACCTATATAGTTTAAGTTTAAAAAATTTGGCTCTCAAAAGAAATTTCAATCGTTGTACTGTTGATATTTGGCTCTGTTGACTAATGAGTTTGCCGACCACTGGTCTAGAAGGAAGAACACAGGTTCTGGGTGGGCACATCCCTTTGGCCCTGCAAATTCCTCACCCCACAGAGAGGGCCAGGACTTAGGAGGACCAAAGTGGGGCCCTCTAGTGTGGGGCTAGGTCAGGGCACCCTCTAGGGCCCAGCGGTTCTCAACCTGTGGGTCATGAACAATGAAAATACATTCTGCATATCAGATATTTACATTACGATTCATAACAGTAGCAAAATTACAGTTATGAAGTAGCAACGAAAATAATTTTATGGTTGGGGGTCACCACAACATGAGGAACTGTATTAAAGGGTCACGGCATTAGGAAGGTTGAGAACCACTGACTAGGCCTAATGGGGGTGGGGAAGGAATAAGACTTCCTGAATGTTCAGTTTTTTTTCTTTTCTATTTTCAAGAACCGCCTCTTCGGAAAGTTCAATTAAGACTCTGTTACTTGGTTTCAAAATGAACTATGTGAATTACCCTCCCCAGGATTAATAGGAGAGAGGTTCTGAAGGTGACGCTAGCTTTATCTTAACCTGGGCATAAGACCCTTCCACCCCTCTGCTTCCCAACTGATGCTACAATGCATTTCTTCTAAAAAAAAGAGGAACAGGAGCCCTCAGCTTCTTATAACACAGACTTAGTGCAGGGGTTCAAATGAAGAGTCCGATCATTCAGAGGTTCTGCTCCTTGTTCTTTCAGGGTAGAACTTCAGGAATTTAATTCTGTCTCTTGAGATAATGTTGCCATCAATTAAAATATCATATTAGCATCTATTTGGAGTGAGTCCTGAAGCATTGATGATCTGGTCAGCTGCCAAGCTATTATTGTTGTCTGGCAAACTGTGTTTCAGAAAGATTAAACCAACAATAGGTTGAGTAATTTTCTCATTGAAACCATAATATTCACTGCCTTGAAAGGATTGTAGAATTAAGGATTTCACTTGTCTTCCCCATCTCAGTAAATGTCATTCACATATACTGCTATTTAAATCAGAAACCTGGGAGTCCACCTGACTCCTGCCACTCCACCAGCCCCACATCAAGTCCTCTTATCTCCACCTCCGACATTATAAGCCCATCTGCCTCTCTGACTCTACTCAAGTCGGAGTTATCATCACTCTCATCTGGCCCACAGTCTGGTCTCCCCACTTATAATCTTATTTATAATCAGTTCTCACCTCAGCGGCCAGAAGCACGTTTTAAAGACACAAATCAGTTTCCTATTGAATCTGAATAAAATCCACACTCTTTGCTGGGACCCTTAAGCCCCACCATGACCTGACCTCTGCTCTTCTGTTGGATCTCATCTTGGGATTCCCTTCCCCTCCCCTGCTTGCTCTGCTCTACTGGCCGCCTTGGGGATCCTCAATCATGCAAGCATCTCCCACCTCAGTCGATACTATTTCCTCTGCTCCCCCTTCTCCTCTTATCCCACCTCCTACCCACCCAGCCTTCAGCTCCCCAGCCCCACATTCCCATACTCACCCCTTCCCCCAACCACTCTCACTTCTCAGTCATTAGGTCTCAGTTGAAACACCACCTTCTCTGAAGTCCTGGTCTGGCTGCCCCAAGAAGATTCCTCTATTTTCCTCTATCACTGCCCTCTGTTCATTCCTTCAAGGCATTTTCACAGGTTTTAATTGTCCACCCAATTTAACTAAATTCCATGAGGGCAGTGACCTTGTCTTTTCTGGTCATCATTGTGCACCCAGTACCTAGCACAGTGCATGGCCTAGAGTAGGTGCTCAATAAAAATGTGCAGAATGAATGAATCAGCACATATGAGTCCCTTAAGGAACTTTTAAGTTTAAAATCTAAATTTTATTTTAAAAAAGGTTTCAGAGATCTCAAATCATCCTGGAATCAGAAAACCTTTCCTCTGCAACTTAAAGTCATTCTGAGGAAGCTAACATCTCCAAGAAGCTAGGAGTGGGCAGCTGAAGAGTGAGATCATGTGCAATGAGAATCAAAGGGCACCGAGAAGCCTCAGGCGCTGGCCTCATAGCTTGAGGAAGAGGCAACAGGAAGCATTAGAACTTTCTGTTTGTTTGTTTGCTTGTCTGTCTAATAAGCTTGTGAAACAGGCTCCTTTGAGTCAGAGCCTCCTCCAGAGTAACCAAGGACTGAGAGGGACAGTGGTGGTGCCACGGAGAACTGAGCGAAGCGCCAAGGTGATTGTAAAGGGCAGTAGAATTGGGCAGGAAAGTATGTATTTCATTTCTGGTCCCAGTCCCTTGAAAACAAACTGATTGAGTTCTGGCTTGGGTAGATCCATTTGTGATGTTCTAAGGTGGTGGCTGGCTAAGTCAGTTGATGGTGCTTCCTTGGGCACATTGTTCTGGCAACGGTAGGGAGTCCTGCAGGAGAGCGGCTTCTTTGGCATGTGTGTGGAATTCAGAAACCGTACCTTGACCTGGTGGGTCCTGTCCTCAATTCAGTTTAGAACAAGGGGAGAGAGTGTGAGCAGGGCCTGTGGCTTCAGTTTCACTCCTTGATAACCCTCCCTTTGCCTGGTCGGACATGTGCTTCACATAATCTACACCTGCTGTTCCACCTTCTCATCCCTTCTGTCTCAACTCAAGGTACATTCAAGGAAGATGATAGGGAAACACAGCCCTGTCTTATCTACTAAACAACTTCCATCCATAGAAGGTTCTGCCTGAATCACTTCTACTCCCTGTTGGAAACAGAGGCAACAGCTACTACATCCTGGTTCCCCCTAAAGCTCTCCTCCTCACTGACACCCAGCATAGGACTGTCACCCTGTTGCCACTCCCAAGGACCTGCATGTCAAACACAAGCAACATCACTGTTGTGCTGGGATGAGAAACATGTTTGTTTGTTTTTTAAAGTAAAAACAATGCTATTGAAGGTTTATTCATAAAACCCTGAAGGATTCCAAACACAAAAAGTTCCAACCATCTTACAGAGGTCTGGTCTATAAAAGTAATTTTTAAAAGGAAAAGAAGCCCTCGTTTCATGACAAAGAAAGTCTCAGCTCATCGAGTGTTGTGCAAGATCAGTGTTTTCATGTCCCAGAGCCTGACATTCCTCAATAGGTGGGATGCGATGACTTGGCATTTTGGTAATTGTGCCCATACACGCAGAGGTTTCTGAGCAAGGGACATGGACATGCTTTTAATAAAAAGGAGAAGAAATCAGTAACAGACGAGTGTCCCAGCAGCATGGCAAACTAGTTCAAGTTGTATAATTCTCCTTGGCATTTCCTAAGAGCACAGAGGCACAGCTTGGGGAAGCAAAGCGAGGAGGGAAATCCTAACTGTAGTGCAAAGAGGTCTAAGAGGGAACAGACCAAACTGTGATGCATAAAACTGACCACAGGACCCCTCAACAAGGGTGAGGCCAAGCAGCCGGTATATCACTTGTCGACTCTTGCTCATCATGGCCCTGGAAAGACAGGGTGGTAGGGGACCAGGGATTTCTACTCTAGACCTCCAGGTGCCATGGAGAAGTGTGGCAGAACTCATTCTGCAGTCTTTGCCTAGTCAGTCTGCAAGACAGATCTGTCCTAGGTGGCAAATTGGAGTTACTGAGGTTGGGTGGAGAAGACACTGTGGTAAAATTGGGGGTGGGTGGAAGAGGATTTGCCACTGCAGTTGGGGCTGGATGGAATATCCTTTCACTCTTCATTGATAGGCAGGGGCCAGGGAAACCTAGACACAGCTCTGGGACTCTTGCTTCACTTGTGACATCTGTATCAGGAGAGTGATCACAACTCTATCCCAGGAGAAGGACCCACAATACAGAAGAATCCCCACTCCCTGTTCAGTCTGAGGATCTGAGGGGAAAGTGAGCTTCAGTGGCTGCCTGGGTACATCTTTTGGGAATTCAATGAGGCACAAGGGGGAACAGTCCACATTGGTCACGGTCACTGTGCCATGTGCCATCTGTGTTCTCCAAACTGCACAGGCAGTTTAATTATAGAGGCTTATAAGAGCACAAACGAGGATTATAAAAATGCATCATTCTGGGGTAATCGTCAACATCAGACAACCAAATGTCAAAAGCACTCCGTCAAAGCTACAATGTGAACTCTGCAAATCAGCCCAAGTTAGGAGCCCAGATGAACTCGCTCACGTTACATGAAGCTTTAATGGTTCCCAAATGTTTACGACGCAAGAGCCAACCCAAAGGAATATTTCCACTTACCACATTTCACAAAGTACAATGATTATTTTTAGGGACTCCTCATATATTCTGAGAGAAAACTCTATTCTCATTGATCTCAAAGCACATTATAGATGGACAATCAAGCATTGAAAAAGAACCCTTGCTCCCGCCTCTCTCCTGCCTCTGTGCTTTGTGGGTTCGGAAGGATTGTGAAATCATCTCTGCTGAGAGAAGAAGGAATGAATCTGGGGAGAGGGAACGATAACTGCAGCGGGCCTCATACGCTCAGCGGGTTGATCAGAAGTTTTGCGTTTAAGTGAAGACACTTGCAAAGCTGGCTAATTACACCCTACTCTGGAGTTAATCCACAGACCACTTTGCTCTCCTCATTCCAAACTGAGGCTCAAACAGAAGGAAACTCATTATGGTTGATATCTGGTACAGGGACCACTGGCCTCAATCCAGTGTGAGCACCATATTCATTAGCACATCTGCTTTCAAAATGCGAACAAGTCACAACCCTCTGGGGGGCACAAAATGCCTACTTTCAGAGGGGCAGCAAGGTCCTGGGCTATGGGAGAGCAGGACCTAATAATCTTGGATTCTAGTCCTCATTCCTCTACCTGCTTACTACACCCATGACACTGATCCAATGACTTAAATTCTCAGACCTATTGCCTCCCAACAATAATTCCTGCCCATCTCCTAAGGTGGTTGTGAGGATCAAATAAAATGAAGGTTCCTTTTAAACTTAAAGGCCCTATTAATTTCCAGTATTTATATTCTTGCCTGTGTAAGATGGGGGTAAGACATACTATACATAATATGTTATCTGGATTACAAATCAAGTATGGTGGCCAGAAGGTGCCAGGATTGCTTTCCACAATACTCCTTTGACTGACGCTTCTGCTGCTGCTGATATGGAGCAGAAGCAAGAGTGACAGTGGCAATACCATGATATAGGTATGAAGATGTCACCCAACTGCTGGGAAGGCTTGGTGGTTGGCTATAGATAGAGACCAGACAAAAGAAGGTAGGGAGGAACCAGCCAAAGGAGAAGCAAGGCATCCCCACTTCTCATTCTCTCCTACTGTGCTGGTCAGGGCTCCACTCTGCAGTTAAACCAAGGGTTGGAGTAAGCTGGCCTTGCTCTCACCTCCTTGTCATTCATCTGTTTCCTATTGGGTTGAAAATGGGGTGGTGGTGGTTAAAAGAGCTTCCAGGAGCACATGGCAACAGCCAGTTGGATGGGGAGTCTCAGTACCTGGCAGTGGTTCTCAACCTTCCTAATGCCGCGACCCTTTAATACAGTTCCTCATGTTGTGGTGACCCCCAATTTCATTGTTACAAATTGAACATAATTAAAGCATAGTGATTAATCACAAAAACAATATTTAATTATATGTGTGTTTTCCGATGGTCTTAGGCGACCCCTGTGAAAGGGTCGTTTGACCCCCAAAGGGGTCGCGACCCACAGGTTGAGAACCGCTGTGCTATGGGGTCTTGCCCAGAAGGAATGAGACACCTTAATCTCTGTCTGACACTAGGTTACCATGAAGGTTTTCATAATAAACACTGATGAACTAGAGTTAACCTTTACTTTAACTGGAAGTTACAATTAACTAGGCTGTCTGGTTAATTGAGGGTTAATTAAAAAGGAAAATATACCCTGACTTGCCTCTTTTTTTTAATGCTTTGATCCTTTTGGTTGAAAATCTTTTAAAAATGGGCATCTTCCCTTTTGCTGAAACTCATAGGACATTCTTCATTCACCAAGATTCCTCATATGTAAAGGATTGTGAAGGTCCATGATGTAGTCATTTCTAATTTTGCTGGCATGTGGGAGTAGACCAGTTAGCTGGCAGAGGCACCAGTTTGGCATCTCATACTGAACATACTGTCCTTTGGTCATCGTGAAGGCATGGGCTCTCACAAAGTGAGAAAAATTTTATTTCTTGGTGGAAAATCACCATCAAGTGAGAGAGAAAATTTGAGAATGTGGTTGATGTATCTTGTACAGATAAACATGGGAACCAGATGGTTTTTGATGGGAAAATGTGATTTGGGAGAAAGGAGAAGTCAACATAAATACTTTTGAAGTTGCAAACTTGGGGGTTTGAGGTCTCACATAGCCTTTTTTGAATATTGAGGGTTTACTCTGCAGATAGCAAAACACAACTGGATTTTTGATGACTGAGAATATGGTGGAGCCTCAGAATCATTACCATAGCACTGGGATAAGAGAGACAGATGTAGAGGGTGTGGGAAATTGTGTTCCAACTTCAGAGCAATTGAACAAATAAATTCTTGGTTTGGTCATTACTTATTCCCTGAGCCTAACAGATGAACCTCTAGAGATGAAAACAATACAAACACTTAATTGATTGCTCAGATTTATTACATTCTATTTAATCTTTGAGTTACTGTGTAGCTCTATGAGGAGCTGCTTTACCCAATTAAAAAGAAACTGGTAACTTGTATTTAATTAATGAGAGGTTAAATCTAATGAAAAGTTGTTTTGAAATTTTACATAGAGCATCCTTTGTGTGAACAGAGCCAGAGGGAATATGGTCACCACATGGTAACATTACTAGGCAGATAATGAGGATGGGTTAGTGGTTAGCTAAAGGCAGAGACCACACTGAAAGAAAGGTGGAGGAAAAATAGGATTAAGGCATAATATTCTATTGTTCTTTCCTATGTTTCTCCTGCTGCACTTTTCACCTCTCCATTCTACAGTCAGACAAATGTTGAGGAAGAACTCACATAATCTCTCATCCCATTATTTCTCTATTTACATACACAGATACAACCCTGAGAGCTAAATTCACAAGTGACACCACTGAACTAGCAATGCCTGGGCTATATGTGCAAATGAGTGTTATCTGTTCATTGTGCTGTGCCTTAGGCACCAGAATGCCTGCTGGGAGAGACTGTTCTCATGTGGGACAGTGAAGTGACAGAGACCAAAGGCTCTTGCAAACCTCACTGGATCTATGGGGACCCAAGACACCCATGCATGTTTACCTGGCGAGCCTGCCAGAGAGTCCCCTCTGCTGAAGGCGAAGGTACGAGACACAGACATGGGCACTAAAGAGTCAAGGGCCAAGGGTTTGTGAGTTGTGAAGGGGAAGATAAACACAAAAGGAGAGAGACAAAGAGTGGTGAGACAGTCTGTTCCTGGATCTTCAAAGCATCACATTTCTCTGCAAAAGGAATCCGTGCCTCTGAAAACATGGAGATTGCACCCTCTTACAAAGTCACTCTCCAGAAAGAGGGAAAGGAAAATACTTCCCTGAAGGTCTTCCAAAAAGGTGTATAATACTTTTGAAGGGAAGCAGACCTGCCAAGGACAAGAACAGCAGTGCCCCAGTGGGGCGTGTGCATCCGCAGCAGCATTCTCTCTGAGCCAGCAAATCTCCGGGGGCCCAGCACTGCATTCCCACCAGGCTCTCCCAGCGGCCACATGTATCTGCTCACCAACCAGAGGGCTGAGAGCAGAATGCATGCTCCTGCTAGGGCCATCCTTGAGGAAGCTGTATCCTCCCTGGGACTCCTAGGAACTCCCTCTGTGGAGAAACTGTGTGCTGCTAGAGCAGCGGTTCTCAACCTGTGGGTCACGACCCCTTTGGGGGTCGAACGACCCTTTCACAGGGGTCGCCTAAGACCATCAGAAAACACATATATAATTACATATTGTTTTTGTGATTAATCACTATGCTTTAATTATGTTCAATTTGTAACAATGAAAATACATCCTGCATATCAGATATTTACATGACGATTCATAACAGTAGCAAAATTACAGTTATGAAGTAGCAACGAAAATAATTTTATGGTTGGGGGTCACCACAACATGAGGAACTGTATTAAAGGGTCGCGGCATTAGGAAGGTTGAGAACCACTGTGCTAGAGGCTTGGGAAACAAGAGTGGCAGGCAGCATTTCCAACAATCTTAATGGGAATCAACTTGGTGAATCAACTCATCGTCACTTCTTAGCACTTAAAGTGCTCCAGAGCACCTCTCTCACTGTCCCCCTTTCCTTCTCTCTTTCCCCACCGGGTCTGAAATGGCGCTGGCCATCACTTGGGGCCTGGGTCCTTCCCCACGCTTGACCCTGATCAAGCGGTGTTTCTGCATGGGAATCTGTCTTCACCTCTCTTATATGGTCATTCTGAGTCCCTTCCAAGGAGCTAAATGAAGCCAGTCTGCAGGTGATGGCACATCAAAGTAGGCAGCTTCTGCAGCATCAGATGATTTTACTGAAAGGACCCACAGGTGCAGGGGAGTGTGTGTGTCTGGAGCCCTAGACCTGATAATCGTTTACTCTGATACGAGATATCAAAGGAGACTTGAACAGGCCCTTAATGTTGCGAGATACACGGGAATAAGAAACCCCATAGTCTCAAGAAGAATCTTACACTTCTGGGCTGCAAATTAAATGCATACCCTGGCCAAGCAATCAAAGACTCATTTTCTCCACCTGCACACCCCTGTGGGCTGCTTTTCTGGCTACCCTGAGCTCAGGCCCAGTTCCTCCCGAGAATGCATACCCTGGCCAAGCAATCAGACTCGTTCTCTCCACCTGCACACCCCTGTGGGCTGCCTTTCTGGCTACCCTGAGCTCAGGCCCAGTTCCTCCCGAGTGCCAGGCTCAACATGGTCCTCCTGGGCTCCCTGGCAGTCAGCACCAAGATGAAGGAGACAGTGCAGGCTCTGTTCCCTTTACTCTGCACAGGAAAGCCAGAGTGACTTACTTGTAACCTCGAGTTCAACTCTGAGGCCTTGGTCATGGGCAGTGTTCTGGCAAACTCATCATCCCATTAATCACCTTCAAAGGCTGATAGAACTACAGGCTGGCTTCCAGGACAGGGGCAATTTGCTAAAGTGAGATCCTAAAAGAGTTTACTGCCTTGTGGCTCAGCCTTAAATTCTCCCTTGACCTACAAGCCAAGGTTCTTGGCCAGTGAAAGATGCTGGGTGGCTACACCTGGGGCTGAAAGTCCAGCAGGGACAACTGTAGGGTGTGGCCCAAGCATGTCAAACTCACAGCATGCGGCCCATGATGAATATTTTTGAGGCCCAGTCAATGTAACAGTATGTAAGGAATGTTTTAATAAAAGTTTTGTAACTTAATTTTTACAATATCCTGTTA